CCAAATCTTGTAATTTAGTTTGGAGCCTGGACCTGGTTGGGGGTGTGGGGAGATGCTTTTGTTTCCATTCAATTTTTTTAGTGTAAAAAAGCAACTTTGTGGAAATCTGCTTGATGGAACCAAGCCCTTGGAGTAGTGTGCAGGTGTATGGTGGCACGTGAGGGGTTGGAGCATGATGGTGAAGCAGCTGGTCTCAGCTCAGGACTTAAGTAGTGGACAGCATAAGGTGTGTAGTTTTGCCCTTCCACAAGAACAAAGCTGTTACCTTTTTTTTACATGTCAGGTTGAAAGGAATTGGAGATTTCCTGCAAAAATTATTCTTTTTCACATGATTGAACATCTTGCTGATGTTCAGAAAGAACCTGAATATTTATAAAGATCATAATGAACTTAAAATAGCTGAAGATAGCAAAAAGGGGGAGAGGGGGAAAGGAGAAAAATGAGACCAAATGCTGTTTCAGAGCTTGCGGTGGTGTGTGAGGAGGCATTGGGAAGGGCTGGAGGCTGCAGCCTTCATGCAGTGTGAGAGCAGGTGGTGGTGGGTTATGGCAAATAATCCTGAGCCAGCATCTCATTAAACAGGGGTGTAATTGTCCTGTTGGACTGAATTTAGCCTGCTGCCATCTGCTAAGCAGATTCAATTAAACAACGAGGGGTGGGAAGAATAAAGTACAGATGCTAATGCGCTCTGTAAACTATGGTGGGCAAGTTCTCCTAAATATTTAGACTGTTTTTGTAAGTTCATGGAGCTGACTTGCTCTTGGGTTTGTGAAGTTTCTTAACTCCATTTGGAGGTTGCTCTCGTTTTCTATTTGGAATTAAGATTACTTTGTAAGTGAGTGAAATTAGCTTCAATACAACAGGGAGATGTTTTGGGCTTTGGGTGAAATTCAGCATGGGAGTTGTTGGGTAAGGAGCAGATATCCTAACGGGTCTGGAGCCGGGAGGGGGGTGAGCAGCTCGCACAGCCTCGGGGAGCTCGGTGCCTGTCAGCTCGAGTTTCCCTCGGTGGTTTCTCAATCCTTGTTTAGTTTGTACTGTTGGTTTAGGCTCGTGGTGGGGGCTAACCGGCTTCTGCTACCCCCTCTCTGACATGCAGAGCTTTTAATTAAAAAAATTTAAAGAAGAAGCTGTTAAAGAACTTGGATAAATTATAAATCAAGGAAAAATAATTTCAAAACCTAACCCGGTGGCCAAATAAATTCCTG